ATGGTTATTGAGTTAATGATATCAGAGACTGTTCTTCACACAAAATCAGAGTTTTTCACTGTCATTCAGTTTTTCTTCTAATGCCACATGTTACTTTTACTTCATTACATTTCAGACAAAAAGTTGTTTTAACATGAACACTAGAGGTGGGAAAAAAATAATTTTATGAAGAAAAAAAAAACAAGATTCTTATCTTCTGAGATTTTAAACAGATTCATAACTTCCAAAAGTTTTTTGGTTTTTTTGGCTAATTAGTCGCTCCCTGTTAAGTGCTAATGCTAGTTCTTTCACTCAGTAGAATGCCAAATGGAGCAGCAAGAAATTCAGCCAGTCTGACTGATGACTGGAGTAGATCCTGAAGGATGTACTAATTCAAAATGAGACCTTGAATCCATGAATCCAGAATCGTCTTGAATGGAAAATAGATTCTGAGACCCCAAGAATCGAAATCGAATCGTGAGACACCCAAAGATTCCCAGTCCTAATGAACACCTTATCAGTCAAGCTTTCGTTACTTTGTGATTTCTGAACACTTTGTACAAGACACATCGTGAGTTTATAAACATAATGTTTTGTATTAAATAAATTATCCTGAAGTTGATTCTATAAGAGGGTGGAGACAGGATTCATTGGAACTTTTTAAATATTTTTTCAGTCCTTGGTCATGCAAGAATCATTGTGAAGGCTTCATAAACACCTGATCCCACATACTGTTACCATTATTACTGTCACTGTAGCTTTAAAAATATGTCTTATTCATTACTGTTGTTGCTTTATTTGGACTCTATCCGTCTCTTTCTTCCTGCATCTCGCTCCATCCCCAACACAGTTTCAGCTGTCTGGTTCTGCTCGAGGTTTCTGCATGTTAAAGGAAGTTTTTATCTGCCATTGTTACTTTGCTTGCTTACGTTGCTTCACGACTTATAATATCACATGTTTACTAGAACAGCCACAGGGGACATGTTTGTTGAGTTTAGTGTTTTAACCCTTTATGTACACTTTCTGTGCGGGACTTTTAAATACTTGCAGAGTATTTTAGGACAAAGTGTCCTTTAAGCCCTTTACTAAGGAACTGAATCTAAATGCTTTCATCCCAACATGCAGATAATAAAAGAGTAAAAGATCTTCTTGTTCTAACAGGACTCAGATAATCTGTGCCTCTGTCTTATCTCCCCTCAGGCCGTGGTCTCTCACTGAAGACCACATGGACCAGGGGCGTCTTGATCTGAATACTACAAAGGCTGCTTTATCCTCCTGGAGGTGAGACGAGGAGAGATTTAAGTACGTTCTTTTTATTTTGCTGACAGAACACATTTACTCAGAACGAGCAGACCGACCTGGAAAAGCACCAGAATAAGGAATTACACTAACACGTCCCCACTCTCTCTGCTCATCTGTGGCCGTTACAATAATATGAAGCCAGTTATTTATTTATTTATTTTTATATCTAAAAATCTGTGCAAGAGTGTGGGCATGTGAGTTTATGTAATTTTTCGATACATGTATGGGTTTAAGGTCTGAAACTGTTTAACTGTTACTGTATGTTTCCTTTGTGTTTATAAAAAATGGCAATAAAAATATTGGAAAAAAAAAAAAAATGAAGCCAGTCAAATATTCAGTTAACGTGGCTCAGTGCCGAGAGCAGGGAACGTACAGAATGTACAGCTACTGTGACAGAAGTTCAACAGGAAGTCGAATGTATTGCTTCTGTGGTTTGGCTTGGATCTACACTGAGGGCTATACGCTCTCATACTAATGTTTGTATAGTGTCATTAATGAAACAATCTGTAGACATAATGTAATAAGCAGACTCAAGGTGACCTTTAAATAAAACATGAGCTGCACTTAAAGTAGAGGATGAAGAGGAGACGGTTTGAAAGATTCCCTCATAATGATCTATTTTCTCCTATCATCGGGATCGGCCCTGATTCTTCCAATCGAATTTGAATCAAGTCACATAACATAATAACAAGAGAAAGCAGTAAATCACAGTCTTTAAAAAGCAGGACCATGAAATGTTTCATATGTTTGGCATGAAAATGAAACTTCCTTTGCCAGAAAACACGTGACCAGCTGATTTCTAAAGTAATTTAAATCCAACAACATTTAAAGGCATACTCACTACCCTGCAGCTCTCTTCTTTCCTCCTGCCTTTGTCTGAGCATTGCGTCATTCTTGGTGTGTAGACACCTGAGGATCAGAGAAACACTGTTCATCACATCGTCCACATACAATACAAATCACAAGGGTCACACAGACCTGCTAGAGGTCAAAGCAGAGCAAACACATGTACAGAGCAAACTTACATGATTATCACAGCATTCAATTATTTTCTGTCAATCCACAAATGATCATTTGGAGGAAACACGTTAGACAAAAATGACCCAGAGAGACAATACAATAGTTCCCAGCTGTGATGTAATGAAGTTGTAGTTTAAGTATAGTACAGGCACGTCATATTGGTACTTAGGAAGAGATCTTAATAATGTATTGAAAAATCCTCGATTGCATAAAGTGGAGTGAGAATTCAGGAAAACCTCGGAACAAAATGTTGTTCTAAGGTGAAGATGAAAATCTGATGCTTTGCTCTGTCATTGAAAGGTGATAACACATTCGAGGCCATCACTGGGGTTTCGGTTTTTAGAAGGAATGATTTCTTTCAGGCTCTGTGTCACACAGCTTTTTGCAATACTGACTGTGTGCTGATAGAGTGGAGCCAGCGGAGTAAGTCTCTGTTTTCATTACAGTGCAGCTGAGATGAAAATCATGGCAGAGCTGTGTTTTTGTCAGGGCGTGTAGGAAGAGAGTCGACGGAAGTACTTTCCCTGGCAGCGAGTCTGAATAGAAGTTAAGATTGAAACCATCTGACCCTTGTTGGTTTGTCATATCCTCACAGTAGTGAGTGGGTCCTTGCTTAGCCGTGCTTGTTCCCCTCAGTATGTCACATCTGAGTCACTGGAGTTTTCTATTCTCGTCACAACATGTCAGCCTCTGCAGGAAGTTCAATTTAACATCAACTGTGCAGTGGGTGTCCATCGCAGAGACTTTGGTTTTTGAAGACAAGTGGCTGCAAAATGGTTTTACTTATCACCTCGCTCGATATGTTTTAGCTACAAAATGTTTACACAAATTTTAAAAAATCACAAAGAAATCAAAGTGATGAACTCCTAAGTTTCACACCTTTCCAAAAGAGGCTTGTTTTCAAATTTCAGCCAGGCAAGATACATGACTGAGTGTGCCATTGTGGATCTACCGGTGATGCCTTCATGTAGCACCACCATATAAACATTTTGGGTTTCATGTAAAATGTGTCAGACACAGATTCACCACACAAGAACAACTCTCAGGACTTTGACCACTCGTCTGACGTTCACCCAATGTTTGTCCTCCTCTTAAGTTTCTGGTGCAAAATGGTTTGTTTTTCTTTTGACCAGAGAAGGTTTTCATTTCATGTATTATACAGGAAAGTTTAACAGTAACACTGAGTTACAGTTTAACGGGCCTGACTCAGTTTAAAAAACTGGTTTCCAGCAGATTCCTGTTCTGTGGAACATGAAACATAAACCACAGTCATGACACATCAAGACAAACACATTTACAGGACATTAGTATGAGCTAGGCAAATACAGACAAATAGAAAAAAACAGTACAATACTTGAACAATACATGAACAATTAATGAGTGCAGGTGTAAGTGTGAGAAGGTGTCGTTTGTATGTGCTAATGTGATGGGGAATGTCATTCCAAATTTTGGTTTATGTGTAAAAGAAGGACTTCCGACCATAGTTGTTTTTGTATGCAGGGTCTGGGATGAGTGCCTGTGAAACTGACCTAGTGAGGCGCACTGGTCTCATATTATGTGTCGGTAGAAGTGCAGTAAGTGTTGGTGAAGTGCTGTTTTTAATCTGAAATTAGTATGTAATGGCTGTGTATGTAATTCTGGAAAGTCAAGGCGTTGGAGCGTGTGAGTGCAAAGCAGTGGTGTGACCACTTTGGGAGGTTACTGTGGATCTTAAGAGCTCGATAGTACAGTCGTGCTATTGGTTCAGTAATCTCCTTAGTGTTAAGTGACCAGGTTGGAAGACAGTAGGAAATTGATGAAAACACAATTGCATGTAGGTACGTTTCAGAAACAGAGAAGGACAGATATGATCTGATCTTACATATATATATATAAACACATAAAGTTTCTGACTCAGCTTAGTAGTTAGGTTAGAGGAGAAGAGAAGGTAGACAGTTTTAAGGCACCCCCATCCCGACAGCCTTTTTGGACACTCCTCCGTTTGCCAGGCAAAAACGGCAAGCCAACAGGTGTTGCAGCGATGGAAGCGGACAATCCAACGGGTTCAGATATAACTGATTCTACCCGACATAATAAGTTTCAGCATTTTTCTAATAAGCTCCACGGCCAGAAACGTGGGAAAACTAGAGAGGCTTTTGAAATATGGAGAAAAGTTAGAACGCAGAAAGGTTTTCAGGACCGATACAGCGCAGGCTAAACACTGAAGCTTCAGTATCCGCGACATGGCAACCTGCATCCACATGGACTCTGTCAGGGCTCGGGCGAATAGCTCTCTCCAGTGTTTTAAAAACTACATGTCTGCATGACTGTAGGAAATCTCCCTAAGTGGGCCTGAAAGTGCTCACAAGTGTCACAATATCCCCGTGTAACTTAAAGTCACCGTGTTTATTTATGGCCTTAAAAGGTCCTGAACTTTTTATTTATTTACTGGAAGCACTTGTGTGGCCTCTAGAGACTCCTGATCCTGTAAAGCACATTGACTCACAGACTCTTCCGAATTTGCCCTCCACTTCATGACTCATCCCTGCAAGCCTTCACAAACCTCTCATTCACCGTGAAAACAATTTGTGATTAGTTACAGTTAAAACATGCTTGAACTAAAAAGTAAAATAGTTTCTTTTTTTAAAAGTGTGATGCGTTATATATACGGCTGAACGTGTCACTTTTCTTGTTATTGTCGTCTGTGCACTTGCAGCGGTTTCATTGGTCCACTCTTGATTGATCTTAATTGATCGCCTTCATGTTCAGGTGACGCCTCTAAGCACGCGTGAGCAAATAGCGTCAACAATCCAGCGATGTCTTGCGAACAGAAAAAAACAACTTGGTTATTAGTGGCAATAACTTTCTACTTTATAGCGTTTCGAGTAACTTATTCGGTAAGTTTAGGACAGCGGGAGGAGGATTTAAGGACTCACTCCGACGCCCAGCAGCGGGGATGGCGTCGGGTGGAGCGGGCTATCAAGAGCCCACGTCTGCGTGAACCCGTCCAGCCAGGTATCAACGAGCTTCGGCGTCAATCTGCCGGCTTCCCTGAAGGGCCAGTCCCGTGTTTCAGCGCAAGTACACCGGATGAAACTGACAGGAACGTCGTTCTTAATGGCTCTTCCTGGACATTTGGTCACACCAACCCACGACCGAAGTCTTCATCCTCGAGCTCTGGAGATGGAGATGGAGATGGATATCAAGCGGATTTTGCAGGTAATGGCTACTAAAGGAAAGCCTGTATGCTAATCTAAGCAGCTGAGGCCTCAGAGAGGGAAATGCATGCATATAGCTAAATGTCCAGTGACGTCACTTGAGTCAGCGTTGCTTGGTGCTGAAGAAGACATTTCAGTCCATATGTTTGTTTATTTGGAGAGAAAGGTGTATAATGTTCCTCATGTCTAGGATACACAAGGTAAGCAACTGAAAGCTGACAAAAACCCCAGAACTTTTTTGCTAGATTTTAGAGAGTTGCAATGTGGGTAATGTAGGCGCCTGGAATCAAATAAAGAATCTTTTTTACACCAAACATGCGAGGATAAACAAACCTTCCCTTGTTTCCATGGTTTTTGTCCTTTTTAGGTTTTGAAGGGGCCCAAGGGAAGGTTTTGGGCCGATCACTTGACTCCAGTCCAGAGTGGCAGGCCATGAGGCCTTTGTTGCGCTGTGATAATAATGCCATGACCTTCACAGCATCTGGAAAAGGACTAACACACCTGTTACTTTCCAGCGGTAGGACATGTGGTGATAATTATGAAAAGTGATTGTGGAGTTCAGAAACTGTTTTTGCTTGTTTGTTTGTTTGTTCAGGATGCCAGTATTTATCACAAGAAGCACACAGTTTCCCGTACTTGTAAGGTCTATATTCAACATAACGATGACTGAAAATGGATAACAGCATCAGCATGAGAGTTTATAAACTTTTATTTTTAATTTACAACTTTTGTGTGGGCTAAAGTGTAAAACTCTACCCTCAAGAAACTCAGTAAACCCTACTCTTAGAAACTAGAAACAGTTTAAGCCCCCCACCCCTATCAAAAATAGCTTATCATTAGATTAATCATTCTAGTATCCTCACACTAAAATGAGTTGTTCAACATTTGTCTTTACAGGGGCCTCTCCCATCTCCCCCTTCCATTTACCTCCATGCTGTGGTTACTCAGTGAGGACAACATGGAGTTACCTTGAGATGACGGTGTCTTATGATGCATGTTACATCACAGAGGAGGTACCAGATGAAGCACCCATCTATAACTTCACTCCCAGTTATCTTGCATTTATCACCCCCCCCCCCCCTTCTCTTGTTTATCTTTCTGTCAGACTGGCAGTTATGTGTTGCCCCTGCTGTGGCAGGGCCTCCCACTGAAGCTCTCCTGCCCGATGCCGTTGTCCATTCCTCCCCCGACACGTTCTCATTCTGGACTCTCCCTCTTCTGCTCCCAGCACGGCATGGCAGTGCAGATACTTTGGCAGGAGCAGGAAATGCCCATGATGGAAGTAGCAGGTATGTTGCTGCTTTTTGGGAACAATTAGCGTTTTGATGCTGATTACAATAGTTGGCAATTTTTTAAACCTTGTGCATAGTGCTTTATTACTAAATACATAGAATCACAACCTGGATGAATAAAAAAAAAACTCCCTCCGATTATATACATTAATTTTGTATATATTTTCAGCTCAGTTTTACATATCTTTTTTTTGGCCTTTTTAAAAAGTAGTCCAATATAAATTCAGATTCTGCCCATGTTATTCACTGCACTGTTTCAAACTTGTTTAAACAAAAACATGTGATGGACTTTCCAGTGAATGGATTCTGGGATCCATTTGTATCTGAGAAGTGTGCGTACCCTGTGCGCTCCTGTCCTGGAGCGCTTACCTTCTTCATCCCCTACAGTGCTCCTTGTTTCACCAGAATGGTAAGGTGTTTTACTTGAAATGATATTTGTAGTCTGCTTCTGTTTTTTCACCAATAATACTTGTATGTGATGCCTTTTTTCCAGGATGGTCTCTACCTCCAACTAATCTTAAACTGTCAGGGATACATCCTCTCTTGTCCATCTCCTCTTCCGTCTCCTGGGAATCCTCAGTTTCCATTTAACCCTGAACCTACCTCCACTCCACCTCCTCCTCTGCCTCTAACCCAAGAGCAGGTTGTTCAGTTTCCTCAATACTTCAATACCGATGACCAGACGCCTCCCCAGGTCTACCCTCCTGGCCTAGAACATGACAGCCCACCTGGGTCACAGCCAAACCCCCAATACTCTTCCCCACCTCACCAGGAAACCAAAGCACTTGGCCCAGAGCTGGTAAGATATCCGCATCAAATTCTCCCCACCCCACCAGCTCCTCCATCTCCACCAAAACAACCTTTAGGTCAATCACAGCACCCATTTTATCCGCCTGCCTCTCATCATCGTTTTTATCCCCAGACTTCTTCTACCAGCACTTTTCCTACTGCATCTCCTCCCACCAGAAGTTCTGAAAAATTGACCCCAGTTCTTCAGTGTCTGAAGGACAGGATGGTTGTTTTCCTGCCTTTTGCTCACCCAGATTATATCCAGGTTAGAGGTAAGTGTATTTTAAATCAGTGCTTCTCCAAGTGTGGGGCAGGTGGCCAGGGGTAACATATAGTGTGCAGTGTTTCCAACACTTGTACTATACCTGGGCGGGCTGCCCAGGTATATTTACAGCTGTCTGTTTTCATTGTACTAATGCTGTTTGCCAAGAGCCTAAAGGCCCAATTCAGCTCCACCTCTTTTCCTGTTTCTATGTAGACCGAAAGTTAGGTTGAGACAGGATTTTCCAACCACCATCCCAATTTCCAACCATTCCAACAGTGAATGCCATTTTTGGGTTTTTAAATCCTTTTTCAGAAACCAATGGGTGATGCCACTGTAGTGTCTATGCTTTATACAGTGTATGATCAATATTCTAACATTTATTGTTTCTGACATCAGACCAGGGGAAGTCATGGCTGCTCCTCTCCACGGTGCCACCACAGTGTGGCTTCATGCAGCACGTGGCTAAACACTCTGGGGTATTCCTTCAGTCTCCTCTGCCTGCCTGCTACAGCCAGCAGAGGGTGAGCGAGTTTGATACACTTTGTCAGCCTATACAAATGTGTGATCTTTATCTTATTGCTTTACTTTAATCAAGTCCCTGATTTTTATTTTTAATCAATAATTGGATTTTGTTTATCTGTTGCAGTGGGAAACTATTTAAATCAAGATTAATTTTCACATTATTGTTGACATTTGAGATGGTCCCAGTTTCATCAAACTATTCACACGGCAGCACTTAGACATTTTTTGTTTGTATATAAATGTTAAAAAACAAGCATTTATTGACACGGCGTAATATTAATAATGCCACAGCTATTTATAAAGACATGAACTTTAATTAGAAGGTTGTGATCAATACATGCAATTTATCGGGAACAGCATGAGTAGAGCACTGACTCAGGAAACCATAGAGGGAATGAGTAATAATCAGCACTGTCTTTTTCATCATAACATGAGAGGCAAACTTGGTTGTCGGTTTGGAAACACTGTTTTTATTTATTATTTTAAGTGTTTCTTATTCTGCTTTTCTTTATATGGATGGATGGTAAAAATACTTCATTCATGTAGTCTAACACAATGAGCTGTCTGATGCTGGTGGTTTAAACCACATGGATTGTCCCTAAAGAGATTTATGACACCACTCCTGCTTGTGTATATATAACTGACGCCAGCAGTTTTTCCCAGTCAGCGGCTCATTTTTATGATTAATCCCATATGGAATTTGCATCATTCGCTCTGCATGCATCTGTGCTGGGTGTAGTTTTTTTTTTTCTGTTCTGTGCAAGTCAAATGTTGAGAACTCTGTTTTTGTGTTTGTTGAGCTAAACTTGAACTGTAGCATGAAGCTGTGCATGGTCGTTCACGCTGACTTTATTGATCTCTCTTTCTCTTTAGACTCCCACGACCATTTCCTTAACCCTGAGGTTCTGGGACCTTTCTTTGGCTCAGTATAGGACCGTTGACCTGCAATGCCAATATGAAACTATTCCTGTAACTCCTGCACCATCACCGTCCCCTACCCCTACCCTACCCAAGACCACCAAGAGAAAGCCTCACTCGCCCGATGTCCCAAAGCCTGAAGTGGTCTGTCACTCCGATCAGATGAATGTTGAGCTCCCCTCTGGTCCCATCTCTAAAATTATTGTGAAGGGTGTGTGTGTGCTTGTGTATCATGGTGTATATGTTCTGGGTGCATATGGTTGCCATCATACCTGCATGGGTTGAATTCAAACATAGTTCAGGGGGGGCCATTAGCTTTTGTTTTAATATGGTAACACTTAAACTTTGATTCTCTAGCTTTAATTGTGCTGTTTAAATTCTCGTCTAGAAAATGATAAATCTTATAATTCAACATTTACTTTTTCAGACATCCAAGGGAACCAGATGAACCTCCGTGATGCCCCAAAGCACTGTGGGTATTCTGCAAAAAAAGGCGACGATGGCAAAATCCGTTTGAGTCTCCAGTTGCACTCACGCTGCCACATGAGTGTGCAGGCAAGTATTGACTCAGATTTCACACTGAGCCTGTGACCTTTTTGGTATATTTGACCATTTGCTGTGCTATTAACTCTTCGTATAAACATGTTTCTCTAAAAGGATAATATGTATATCATCACCATCTACTACACGGCAGCAAATGAGAGACGAGAGGCTCAGTTTTCCTGTCCAGTCATCATGAAAATCCTAGGACAAGGTAGATGGATTTTATCTTCACTCCTCTGAAAGGCTTTTCAATTCACCAACGTCCTCTTGGCCATCCAGAGTTACTTTAACCGTGGGGCTGACATTTGTCGTGCTGTCCCTCAGAGTGCAAACTTCCCATCGAACAGCATCTCCCCTGCGGACCCGACTCTGTATCCAAGACACAGTGCCTCTCCAAGGGCTGCTGCTTCAACAAGAAACTCCGTGCCTGCCACTACCCCATGGATGGTGAGCTGCAGTTTGTGTCCCCCCCACCCCACTGACATTTTGGTGCCACTTGGCTGAGTTCAGTTGAGCTGATTTTGGTTAGAAAATGTAACCGCTGCTGGATGTGTGAAGAGGCACATTCAGTGCCTGCCTAGCGTGATTCAAGCTGGCACTGACAGCGATTGAGGAAAGGGTAAAAGATACCTTGGGTCTCATTATCAATTGCCTCCTGAGATTTCTGACCTTTTTAATTGTCTGACATTCACATAACCGTGCTTGTGTATCTGCGTCTTCCTCCAGAGTGCACTGTCGACCGTCACTTTGTCTTCTCGGTGCCTGCCTCCCTCACTGAGCCCCCTCTTTCCCCTGCCCTGCTTGCTACTGCTGGTGACTCGCCCTGCAAACCTCAGAAAGTGACGTCTAGCTACGCCTTGTTCAAGATCCCGATGGACAGCTGTGGGACACGCAGAGTGGTAATGAATTAAAACGTATCCAAAAACAATGGCAAGTGGATTGCTTGTCTGCTGCGGTTAATGGGTTGTCGCGTTAAAAAAAAAAATCTTGTCATGTGATGTTCCATGTTTTTCTTAGCGTCAACATACCCATGCAAAATCAAAACAGACAATGAACTGAAGGTGCAACAATTTCCCCCGAGCCAAACTATCTTAGTTCATGTGTCACAGTTCCTTGAACAAACAGTGTTTTCTTGTCAACAAAAACTAAATTCCATGTTTGTTTCTGTTTTGTGCAGATGGTGGGAAAAACCATGGTCTACATAGTGGAGGTCATCAACACGGTTCAGACACTCACCCTCAACTACGGCACCATTACAAGAGAGTCTCCTGTCAGGTCCGGCCAGAAACACTTTGATCATAAGAATACAACTAAATGTTAAGAGTTTCTTTCTTACTACACACTTAGGGCCTGATTTACTAAAGCGTGTGTAAAAATGTGTATAAACTTGATATTTGCCATCAGATGTGCATACTGATCTACTTACAGCGTGCACTGAGGATTGCCTCTTTCAAATGTGCACGACAACACACATTGTCCATGAAGTACGTTTGCCTTAATGGATATGCTATATGGGCCGTTTCTGCCCTAGAGTGCAAAATTCTAGGAGGAGAAAATAAGTTTATTTATTACAAGCATTGCGATTTACCTATTCTGGAAATAATAGCGGGGAATGTCACATTGTGTTTTTTTTATTTACCATTGGAAGGAAGATGCTAGTCCAGGTGCCAATTGTTACAAACAGATGGCTGCTTATTGTAGCAAGGAGAAGACAAAGGCACAATTAAAGAATGTGTTTTTTTTTTCTTCAAATGTAAACATGTTTGGAACGACATGCATTTATTTTGTATTCCCATTCTATAATCTTTAACGAAGAAAAGCACCATCATGAAACACATTTATTGTGGCCCATTCTGAGCCAATTCAAACGGAACATTAAAAACCAGTAAAACAGGCAAAACCTTAGTTTAAATTCTATCACCTGCACAATCTTTCACAATTTTTCCTAGTTGATCACCCGCAAAGTGTACATCAAGTGTTTTTCTTGCTACTTGGAGGTTGAACACAACATTGACGGATCACCTCAAGTTAATAAGAAGAAATGGTTGCTATTCGACATCCAGCTGTTACTATGCAGAAATCTAGTTCACTTAAGCCCCTTCACACATGCACTGCACTTCTAAAAATATCCAAACAGTACTCTGGTAGGCTGCATTCAAGATCATCAATCTCTGCATCAGCTGACTTTAAGTGGTCCATTTCCTGTCAGACCCTCTAGCAAAAATTCTGCATGGAGCGAGTAGGCGTGTTGATGAGCCTTTTCACGTAGCATTACAGTCATAGCTTTTGCATTGTTAGAATAAAAAATCTGATCAAAGATTCTTTGGAAAGGGAAAGATATAAGTTAATGGGAAAAATCTTGATATACACAAGACCGAGATTAAGTTTAAAAACAGTCTGTAAGTTTGACACAGGAATGCGTTTGTACTTTGACAAACATGGTCCATAATGAATTTTCCTGTTTATTCTGGGAGGAAACTCAATTAATTGAAGCTGACTCTTAATGCCGGTCTGACATTGACTGTCTTGGCAGAATGTACTTTTTATACCGATGTTGTGTTTAGTAGTAAAAGATGCAACTCAAGGATCCCTTCTGAACGGGCCTTTCTTTTCTATCTTCACACTCAAATATGAAGGCAGAAAAAGAGAGCAAATAAACTGTATCTATTTTCAGCATCATGTGTTCTGTATCACTTTCAGGTTGTTGGTGGAGTGCCGGTATGTGCCAAATACTGTTCTGAGTGTGAGCTACATGGTCAAAACTCCCACACTGGGACCTAATGTCCAGTCTCAGGCGGTGTTTGGAGTCCAGCTCAGGATTGCCAAAGGTGGGTGGTCTTCATTGCAATACTAAAAAAAACTACTTTTTAAATGCTAGATTTTAAATGTTCTGCTTGTCGGGTCAGATGAAAACAATAATAGAATGATACATATATTTTTATCAGATATATTGGCAACCTACGAATGCTTGAATTCAATCGGGACAACAACAAAAGAATGTTGGTTTAAATGCGTTTAAAGTTTGGATTCAAGTGATAACATGCTGCTGTTTCAACACACTCTTTCAATCTTAGATGACTTGTACACCAGCTACTACCCTCAGTATCACCAGCCCCTGCAGATGTTGCTGGGGAAACCCCTTTACTTGGAAGTGCGACTGCTCAACTCCCCGGATCCAGATTTGGTGCTGCTGGTTCACTTCTGTGTGGCATACCCCCGCTCTGGCAAAGCTGTGTGGCTGCTGCTTTACAACGGGTACGTCGGAGCATCTCTGATGTGAAGAAAACAAAAATGAAGAAGTCTATTGAGCTCAGCAGAGGAAGACATCGGTGCAAAAGGAGCCAACATTCACAAAAATATCAAATTTTGATGATTTTTTTTTTTTTCTTCGAGAGGTGACATTAAGGTTTTTTTTTGTTTTTTTATATCTAATGGTCTAACTCGTGTGTTTTTAACATGTAGATGTCCAAACCCCTTGGACCCGGCTTTGCAGAAGGCTGTTCTCGTAGATCCTCTACCGCCCCCTCTTCAGGCTCAGACCCGCCGCTTCACAATCACCACCTTCCAGTTCCTTCCGGATGCTGAGTTCAAGGACCCCGACGAAGAGGTAAGGATAAACAGTGGCCCTACAGTCCTAGAAATAATGATTAATACATCTTTACTTTATTAAGTTTGTTCTATTTTACGGTTTTGTAGACATCTCACAGTATGATTTACTGAATTTACATTCCAAGAAGCTCATGTGCCATAAACTAAATGTGGAAAACTTGTGCAATTGTAGGCTATATGAAGCTAAGAGACAGTTTAGCATAACATTAAATAATTAAAATGAGGGGTAAATGTAGGTCTGGCTCCATTCATGGTGAAAACTACACCTACCAGCATCTCCAAAGAACACATATATATTTCAGTTTCTCCATTTCATCCAAGTGTAAAACAGTCAGATTGTGTATTAACAGTGGTTGTAAGGTGCTTTTATATGTATTTATTTCTTACCTTGATACAGTGAGATTATCTGATTCTCCTTGTTTGCAGCCTTATATTTAATGACCATAGGCTATATGTGAGTGATATAAATCTTGTGATCAGAATTTTGCCAAGAAAGTTTTACCTACAGTTTTATGTTTTTATAACGAGAAGAGAAAATCTTGTCTGCTGAGTGCATTCATTTAGGACCCAAGATTGAATTATTCTTGTGTCAGAGTAACAGTTGGAGGGCAAGATCTCTGTCTTTGTTTGTCAAAGTGTGTGCCTTTCCACTTGAATAAATACACACTTGCCCCCCCCCCACCCCTCCTCCCGTCTGCTTAGACACAAAATCCATGGAACACTAAACCATTGACATCTGTGTCCCTGAATCTCTCGAGTCAGCATTCATTACATGAAAATGTGGAGAGGCCATTTCGTAGGCCGCATATTTTGGCCAATTCTCAATTTGCAACAGCTGTTTGTCATAGTACTTTGCACGCTCTCATACCGGACAATACATCAGAGCCTGCTGTACTTTTGCCTCCTCCCAGATCTACTTCATGTGCTCAACGGAAATCTGCTCACCAGAGGATGGGCCCTGTGTCGAGGGATGCTTTGGCCAGTGACCGGTAAGAAAAACGAGCACTCTGTCCTCCCATTACCCTCCACGCCCCTTTTTTTTTTTTTTTTATAATTCTGGAAGATCACATGAAAACACCCATGAATGAGTCCCATTACAACACCCCTGACTGCAAACAGCCTGAGAGCCAGCAGTGGCTGCAGTTCCACATGACAGCAGGACAATGACTTAGTAATGAGGAGTGTTTTGAATTATTTATCAAGACTGATCCATTTCCTGTTTTCCAGTTACAATGTGGAAGAGGCTACACGTTTGTGTGGGAGATGATGATCTGGTAAGCTATATGTTTATATGTTGAGCTCATGTAGAAAAGGGGGGAAAAAAATTACATTTCTACGCTGACTATATTTTCTATTTTTCAGGCTTCTGACATCACCCCTTGAACCAACAATAAAAGTTCCTAAAGGTCTGAGAGTGTGTTTTTGTTCCCAATTTGGCCGCCACTAGATTTTACAGCAGGAAGTGGCTCACCATCAAAATGTGGGAGGCAGCATTGTTTACATGAACATTTGGCCCTTGTGGACTAACTATCTGAGACTCAGACGGTCCCTCAGACTGCGTAGGTTTACAGCAATACATTATAAATGAAATGGCAAGAAAAGGGGATGTTTTGCATCTATCCAATGATCCATAGGAGAGGGAAATGAGGTGCTACACATCAGTACTGTCGTTGCATCTGAAATGGAGCTTCAGACTATTTCCAGCCGAGCTCGCTCACGCAGTTATAACTAGATACAGTTGATTTGAAGCACTGAGAGTAAAGGGAGTTTCTCTGTGCTGATCTCTCCCCTCTGTCCTTTGCTGGTCTATCACAGTCTTCAGGTAACTGTCTGTTCATTTGATTAAAAAAACTACGAATAAAAACGAGGTGTGCTAAGGCATCTATTGACGCAAAAGCTCTTGTACCATTTTTGATCTTGTAACTTAGTTTTTTTCCTCTGAAACAATCTAGCAGTTTATAAATAAGTGCTCACAAATTGCTTCAGGGCCCAGTGAACCTGGGCCCTCTAGTTCCCTGCGGCAGACCTCCACATTGCTAATCCAGCCACACCTTTCTGTAATCCAATCAAGTGTTCAAAAAGTTAATTTAAAGTTTACAGTGAGTTTTATCACGCGGGACAATCGTTTAAATGTGATGAAAACATGTTTATTCATTGTGGACTTGAGACCGTAATTGGGGGCAACAAATGACTTGGCCGCCTGTAAGATAAGAAACAGACCTTGCAGCGTCTTTGGAGCTCGCTCACTGATAAGTCCTCATTTGTGACCATAAAATGAGAGGATTTGTGTCGTGATTTTCATGTTCAGAAGGTTGGAGTTCAGGAAATCACCGCTCCCAGCCAAGAAGAAATAGCCAAGTGCATACCCCCATAAATGTGACTGTTTTTTGTTTAAACCAAGCTGCTTGTTCTGCTGTGTGTGATGTCTTTGGTGCTAAACTATTTCAAAGCAAAACAACAAATAATTGTATTTAAAGAAATGTATTGTTTCTTAAAGATAACGGGTATGCTCAAGTTGAAATCAGTCATGTTTTCCAGCAGGAAGCGCAATACATGGATTGCCTTTTTAAATGAATGTCAAATAGGGTCAGAGAGTGTAAAGGACATGGTGGCATATATGACATAAGGTTAAATACATATTTAGTAAGCCAAACCACATCAACCTCTGCAAGTCAGAATCATTATTTTCTTCTGATTATAATTTGCTGCAGCAAATTGGCTTTAAAGATTTCTCTTCTCGTGGTAGCCTTTGACCACTGGGTGTCATCCAAGCAATAAAAATACAAGGAGAACATGAGGTACTCCATGCTGCATGACTCACAGCTGGGCTTGTGTGAGAAGACCTTGGCCTGTGTGCTGATTGTGTAATGAGTTAGGAATGAAATCTTGGGTTTGCTGGACATGATAAGCACACACTCTGCTGTTCTGCAATAAAACAACGACCACTGCAAACAAAGAAGGGAAATGTGGTTTTTATAGAAACAGCCTGTGATTTGAAATAGTTCTTAATCACCGGTGTGTCTTTATTTAGAGAGAAAATAAGCATTTGGATTAAAGATTTGGGTACTGTAAGAGCACGACTGTATTTCAGAGCTTTTGGACCCCCCCCCCTCCTCCTCACACACACACACTCACCTCTCAGTGAAATGTATGGAGGCACTGCGGCATACTGCGTGTGTCTGCAGGCTGCATGGCTGCCTGGCTCAGCGTTCAAACGGAGAGCGGAAGATAGGAGGAGGGGAATGACTACACCAAGAGAGTAGGAGGAGGGAGGGAGGCAGGGGAGGACGATTTCCTTTCTGTAACACACACGCTACAAGATCACACCGGGAAAACGGAGAGAGGAAAGGAAATAATAGGCGAGAGAAAGAGAGGGAGGGAAGGAAACACCGCAACCTGCCTGTTCGTCCGCTGCTTGTTATTGTTTTTTGTTTTTTTTTAAAGTGAAGGTTGGGGGGGGTTGAAAAACAAATCGTCTTTTCTTTTAACGGAGACTTGCGGACTAACATGGGGGGAAGAGAGAGCTCCTGACGAGGATTGACTTTCAGTGAACCTCTGCTCTGTGGTCAATAGACAGGCAGGAGAAGGAGAAAAAAAAGAAAGGCGACAGGGAAGACATGTTGAGGGGCTTCTCGTCTTAAGGGCTGCGGTAGGATGTTCATGTTGTGCTGTTAAAACAGAAGAGATTTTTTTTTTTTTTTTTTTTTTTAAACGTGAGCTAATGGAAATTGGGCGGTAGGCTACGCTCGGGAGCTATTGTTTTGGTCGGTGTTTAATTGGTTTGTTATGAACTGAAAAAAAAGCGTAGGCCTCTTAAGAAGCCCTACAGTAAATAAATACACGACCAAACAAGGGGGCTGCATAGCCGGTAATTAGCCTGCTTACATTTAAGGAGACATCTTTTTTTTTATTATTATTAAGCCGCTGTGTTTCCTAGTGAGGTCAAATAAGCGTTTATTATATGTGTTTTGCAGTGTTCAGATGATATTTTTCAACACGGAGCCAACACATTTCTAGACAACTCAACTCTTTAAGGGGGTCATGCGAAAGGCCCAATAGGAAACGCAGTAAAGGAAAGCATTATTAGAATATTTTAGAGAGGTGTGTGTGTGTGTGGGGGTGAAAAACACGATTTTTAAATGTTAATGTCGACCGACGTTGCATCCATTATGCTGCCTGTGTCCCGGGGTCTCATGGACCGGGATAGAGAGCTGGAAACCCTCGCCGGGGTGCATCCAAACGCGGGCGGAGCTCCAGCGGTCGTCCGGGGCATGAAGCGTGGAGACCCGGAGCCCGACGTTCAGACAGCGGCAGCTCTGGTGGACTCTGCCGGGGCGGAGTGCAAGCGCCCCCGGATCGACGGCTCAGGGGGCATCGGCGAGGTTGGTCAGGTAAGGAGATAAAAAAAATAATAAAAAAATAAGGAAGGGGAGGGGGGGTTATTCTTTTGTCCACATGCAGTAACGCAGCAGCGTGGTGCACGATGCTATTTGTGTGTATGTTGAGAATATATAATGCATTTATCTTATCTTGACTTATTGAGTTATTCCAAAGTGGATTTGTGTCACTTGTCTATGTGAAAACTGCAGATATATTGTAGCAGCATTTGCAGCATAAGCCCCCCCCCCCATTGGCCCAGCATAGCATCTGCTATCGACTGGCCATGACAAGCACTGCAGGAAACACCAGCACATTTCACAGCTGTAGTAAATGGCTACATGCTGCTAATTCAGATGAAAGAGAGGACTGCAAATGTGAGACTGTAATCCACCATACATGATGTTCACAGGGCTGTTTAGCAGCTGCAGTATTGTTGCAGCTCAGACATTTAGTTAAGGTTTTATGAGACATGTTCAATAGTCTCATTTCTTATCTATCCAGGGTTAACTGATTGCAGCTCGGGTATTATGTTGCTTTAAAAAAAACATCCACAAACAGCGGCATGTGCTTTATGAATATCTGTAATGCTCAGACACAGTCCCAGCAGAGTGTTGGCGATGTAAACAAACTTGACCTTTGATATGCAAAACCCCCCCTTTGCCATGTGGAGTAATTGTGTGGGTAACATTTGGTTAAGAATAGGGATTGATGTCAGTGTTTGCATGTGTGATCTTTGTTGGGGGAGGGCAGACATGAGGGGGTGTCTGAGCCAAACAAAGACCTGCAGGTTTACTGGGGGGGGGCAGCCTGAGTGTAATCAGTCTAATTACCTTGATGCTCAGACCCCTGCTTGTCTCAACACTTGACCTGCAACATTTTTGTGCTTGTGTCATCAAATGTGCCCTCTTCACTCCTTTTTTCTTTCCGAGCCAGTCAAATCAATTGCCCGTTCTTTTGCCTGTCAGCGATCCGAAATAGGTCAAATGATTCCTAATAGAGAATCACAGGAGCACAGGAGGATGCTCTGGACACCATTATGGCGTAATATGTAGTGTGAAGTACTCCAATGGAAGACGGGAAGCTATTTCCTGGCCATTGAGAGCACCAGTAATGGAGGTGAAGTGGCCTGTTTGCTCCTGTTTGGAAACCTAAATGGCTGGCTTTACGTCGTCATGCTGCCGGCGAGTGCTGACAGACAGGCTTAGGAACGTAATGCACTTACAGAATCAGATGTGAGTGGAAGAGTGTTTTGTGTGGGGGAGAAAGAGAAGCACAGATCAATAGCCCCAGCCCCTAAAATGTATTGAATGTGAGCTGGCTGGACTGTCCGGAAATGAGAGTGGGAGAGATGCCCTCTCCACCCCCCCCCTCTCTGCCTCTCAGTTGGTGCAGGAACAGATTTGCCCTATCACTGGCAGCAAAGAGGCTTTGTTTCCAGCTAATGGGATCACATCTCATACTGGAGGGGGCATTATAACCACACTGATCCTGAGATCCTTATCTAAGGCAGAGGGCTTATACAACTTACAGGCACACACACACACATCAGTTGTTTTAATGCAGATGGAGATTATATCAGAGTAAAAACAGAGATTATATTGTACTGTATAGCTGCAACCAACATGTGATTTATTGATGAATTAATTAGCTGTTCAACAGATTAATACATGGCAAGCGTTTCCATAATTAACTTATTATTTATTTTTCAAAAGGACCCAAAAATGTTTGAACACTTTCCGTTTTAAGATAATAATTTTGATTCCTGACAGAATAAAACATGTACAGACACCAGATTGGATTGGAGTCATAATTGTAGATTTTATTTTTTAAATGATTAACCGAGAAAGTGCTCGCATATGAATCAACATTGAAAATAGTTCAGGCAGCCCTGAATCTTTTAAAATAAAGCCTTAAGGTTACAAAACCTGTACAAAAAAAATCCACAATGTGAACTTCTTTTCTACAAAAAAAAAAATCAACTTCCAAATCCCAGAGCATGTATAAAGCACGTGTGACGTATTATTTCTATTGCCCAACACATTGGCTCCATTAATATTCTTGAAGCAAACTGTGTTGAGTGACATTCAATTTTTCCTCTTTTTAAATCGGAGCTCTTGGCTTTAAAAGTAACATCTATAAAAAAAAAATAGCACAAAAGCACTTCTGTAAAGCCAATCACCAGAGGAGTGTACAAGATGGAAAACATTACAGCAGACAGTAGACTGGCTCTCTTAAAGCACTTTTTGTCTCCCTTCCTCCACCATTGATTAAAAAAAAAACCATTTGTTGCAGCAAGCATTATGGCAGGAGTTAAACTCTGACCTGTAACTGCTGCAGACACAAAGGGGTGTGGTTGTGGTAAAGATTAATCCGTTTGCACCTCTGCCGCCCAGTAATGAGATCTTTCCCATTTGGCCGTTGACACCGCTGTTTGTCTCATTAGGCTGTAAAGTTAAGGATGGAGGAGTTGAAGTCTCAATTCGAGACATGCAAAGTCTAAGAAGAGCAGCAATGCATGTAGAAATCAGCGCAGTGCACGAGTGAGTGCTCTGTTAACGGGGCCGAATGAAGCTCACAGAGTGCATCCAGCAGAGTTCAAATGTTCACCGCTGCTCAGAGAAATGAGTCGCTGACCTCCTGGAGCTGACACTCTGCTCATCCAATATTATAGATTTGATATGAATATGAAGTCACTCAACCAGCGAGGAATATCCCAATAAAAGGGATTCAGTGTGCTTAGCACAGGGGAAGTCCTGCATATTCAGGACGATGCAGGTTTCATAATCATGCCCTCCATCTCAGACCCCGATTTTGGGAAATGTCGAGAGGAGGTTGTCAGATTCAATATCAGTCCTTGTGCTGCTGAGCGGCCCGTGTTTTGCAGTCACTGTGTGGAGGATCGGGGGCTCTCTCTCTCTCTCTCTTTTACCCAGTAAGGTCTTGCCTGAGGTGACAGCGGCGAGGACAAATGACTTGACTCGGACATTAATGTAGGTGGATCACCCCTCTGTGTGCTTCCATCACAGAGCCCCGGCGCTGAAATAGAATGAAAACGTCAGCAAGAAAAATACATTTCTGCTGCCAGTTTAGAATATTTATTTAGTTTGTTGGACCTAGTGGGGTTTTTTATTTATTTTTTGTGATAAATTGCCTGCAGATGTTGTTCACTGAATCCTGTTTTTTCAGAGAATCACTGCTGCGTGTGTCTGGTGTTGTGCTCTTGGGCTGCTCTGATGTGCTTTGACTGTGCTCAGTTATTAGCTGCAGTTAAGTGATTTTTTTTTTTTGGAAAGTTTTTGAAAAAATAAAGTCGAAACATTTGATCCAGACCTTCATTATACTTTTCTGGTCAAGAAAAAAAAATTGCAAGATACTCTTAAAAATTCCCAGACTCCAAAGTAAAATATACCTAGTTTTATTTTGCATTAAATATTATAGATTTTATATTATAGATATATAGATTATTGAGTGTTTGAAAATAAGGATAGAGCTTTTTTTATTTTCTTAAAATGCGAAGACGAAATGAAAGCCTTATTAACAAAAAATACTCCACAGATTCAAAATGAGTTGAAGCAATTACACACATAATTAAAGTAAAAGTGCATGCTAATTAAGACCATGTAATGAAAAAAATGCTCATCATTATTTAGTGTGAGCAGGTGTTGGCAGTGAGCCGTACGTACCTGCCTCCTCGATGAGGAGTTTTTCATGAGATCACTTTTAACGTCTTCCTGCTAAAATGTCAAACACAAACAGCAGCCACAGTTTTCCCCCCAAAGTGGGCATCCACATGGCTCCCTGGAGTCCAGTATCAGGCTCTAGTTCCATTTGCATTATGTTGCAACAAAATGATGTCGATTTAATCACGATGAGTAATTATGTCCTGCAGTGAATAATGAAATGCAAATAATCAGATGTGAACTAAATTGGCGATAAAGAAGATGACAGTTTTATCTTGAGATGCAGATCAGCACCGTGGACATCTGTGTGTTTATGCTGCATTGTGATAGGCTGATGCAGCATGCGATTTTGCTGATACAGCTCTGTGATTGATTATTATTACGAAGCCAGGACTGTCGAGGCTGCTTCCAAAAAAATCCTCTCGGACTGCGGCCAACACCCCCCCCCCCCCCCCGAAAGAGCACGTGTAGGTTTACTGCGGAAAGTCGGAGGGATGTGAAGTACACGGAGGGAAAATAAACTGCAGATCATCTGGCTGACGGTTTGGAGGCTTAGCACATAAGTGCTCTGTGGATGAAATGGATTCACATCCTCCTGAGTGCTGTGCAGCGAGGTACGATGACTCTCGCCGAGCGGTGAAATGTAGTTTCTCCTCTGCTCCGCCTCGACAGAGCGGCGGTCTCGAGGCACGATAGGAATAGACTCGAGTCTTGTGACCAAAATTAGAAATCCCCTTCACAAACACACCTACAGGAGCACCACCTGTAGTTTATGTAGGGGGACGTGGCCCGCTTCATAAGGATGACTCGACTTGTGAAAAGATTTGGTTTGAAGGAGAAACTTGCTCCTCGCGCCTGTCTTGTTTAGATTTTACTATCACAGGGTGAGCCCCCCCCCCCCCTCCCCCCTCCTCCTCTCCTTTCTCCTCCCCTCTGTGCCATCTGTTGACTTCAAGTCATTTTAGTACTTTCCCCTGATTGCTCACTCGGTCTCCCCCGGCAGTCTCTTCTCGTGTTGAATGCACCCCACCCTCCGTAAAACGATCACTGTCAGAACCCCCCCCTCCCCCCCTCAGCCGGGAATCAGCTGTGCATCATTTGTCACGACCCTATGAAGTGTAAAATCATGCTTAGTTAACATGCGTGAAATAAAACGACTCCTTTCTGTGTTGTGTAGTTCTTTGCGAGTGCCTGTAGTGTTGCGGAGCAGCCTCCACGCAGCCCCTCCCTCCCTCTCCCTCTCTGTTCCTTAAGGAAATTAAGCACATGACTCCGCTCATGTATGAGTCATTGTCTTTCCCCTCCATCTTTTTTTTTT